ATCTGTGTGTGTGTGTGTGTGTGTGTGTGTGTGTGTGTGATAATTACATATATATAAAATGAGGTGTTAGATTTAATCCTACTTTTTGCTTAAACCTTTGCTCATTCACATTCAAATGGTTTGATTTTAAATGGATCTAACTGGCTGTATTTGATTATGTAGTTCTATATTTTGAAAAGCAGACTTTATATCTGATTTTGTTATAGGACGGATCTCAGTCTAGCAGATGAATTTGAATTCTCTCTTCTTGGAGTCTGTGTTTAGAGGGTTGACAAATGTGGATAATTCTTGTACTCATCTATTATTAAATAAATGATAGAGAGGTCAAGCATATGAAATCTAAAGTTTAAGATACATAGAGGAAGGAGAGAAGTCAAGCACATGAAATCTAAAGTTTAAGATTCATAGAGAAACCTTTCAGATTAGATCCAGATATTTTATTATTCCTTAAAAGTTTTATTGATTATATTGATATTAAGCATAGGTTGTATATGTTAATCCACATTGGGAGTGATTTCCCTCATTTCTTTCTCAACTCTATCTATGAAGGTTATTCTTTTTTACTGGGGAGAAGCTCATTGACACAAACTATCAGGGTGTTGCAAATCTGGATGATTTAATAGTGAAACTTGAAGACAATGCGACGTTGGGATGATGAGTCAAAACAGCCGGAGTGATGATGCGATGCGAAGGAGCTAAAATAGTCTACATTTTCGTGATGTTGGCTCGACGTGTGGTGCTGAGTCATGTGATACAATGACACTGGTTTGAGTAACTTGCATGGTTGTAGAAGATGGTGGCGACAATGATGCAGAGTTGGTTCTGCTTTTAGTGCTTGTATCAGTCCCTGTTGTGTGCATGAGAGAGTGATGGTAGAGAGAGACTGAGAAAGGAACTTAAGGTTCATTTTTTATGGCTTGTTTACATTTTTTCTTTTCAGACAATTGGCATAATTTTGTCTACCTACATTTTTTTACTATTTTTTCAACAATTGTTATGGTGAGAAGTAATATTTTAGAATCAGATCTGTTATAGTTGTTAAACTATTTCGAAGTGGACAAAGGCTATTTATCTGCACCATATTTTTGAAACAAAGGATTTTTTTTATACAGCAATTCTATAATTAATTGATAGGCAGGTTCAAAGTTTCTAAGACCCTCTTTTAAATTATTAGTAAAATAATCCAAAAAAATGCCATGTTTCAGTGATTATATATAATTACAAAATTGCTTGGTTGGGAAGGGTCCCCAGTCTAGAAATCCAAAATATAATGTTACTCACTCATAAGGGGATAGCCCAACCACAAAAACAAACCCTGAATAAAGCTAAAAGGGAAAAATTATATATTATATATTATATATATACATACATACATACATACATACATGCATACATACATAGATATACATACATACATGCATGCAT